GAACAACGAATTACTTGTTTTAATTGGCAAGTTTAAACCAATACAGCTGTTAAAAAAGAGAAAAAGAAAAAGGAAGCTTTAATGCCTAGTTCTTGGGAGTCACTTCTACCATATTCAATTAGAAGAAGCCACTAAGTCCAGGCCACAGTGGAAGGGAGGAAGTAGCGAGGCCACAGTGGGAGAGAGAAAAGAGTCTCTTGTGTGTGTGTGTGTGTGTGTGTGTGTGTGTGTGTGTGTGTAGGTGTGCACATGAGTGAAGGTACCCGAATAGGGCATCGGGTCAAATCCCCTGGTGCTAGAGCCACAGGAGGCTGAGAGCCACCTGACTTGGGTGCTGGGAACTGAACTTGGGCTCTCTGCAAGAGCAGTATGCACTCTTAACCACTGAGTCTTCTCTCCAGCCCCTGAATCTCCACTTCTCAACAGGAGGAGCATCAAAGACTTTGTGGACAAATGTTAAACTGGCCACAGTGGATGCTCTGGGTCTGATTACCTATATTCCAGCCTCAGCTCTGCCACTTACTGCCTGTGTGGCCTTGATGTTCAACTCTTAGCATTCAGTTTTCTTCCTATTTTGAGGGTTCAAAATAGCTATTCTGTGGAGTTGTTGTGAGGGTAAAAACAACCAAAAACAGGCTGGGACATGCTGAACAACCAGCTAACGCTGTCTTGTCTTTGGCCCTGAGCACTGGGGTGTCTTGTGCAGGAGGCCTGGGCCCCACAGGACTGCTGGCTTTGCTAGCATTGTGGTTCAGCCAAGGTCAGATGCTGATGGTGATAGATTCAGAAGTTTTAATTCACTGGCTTGTCCAGGAAGAACTCTGAGACTCCTTTATGAATGACCTACAGGAATTAAACTCATCAGGAGACCCAGAAGCTAATTTGTTAGTTTGTGCTGAGTTGACTGGAAGACTTCTGTTGGCCAGAGTAGTGTTTCTGGAAGGAAAATCAGCTTGGGACACAGCGTCAGGCTTCAGAGGAAGGAGGCTATCACGCAAAGCACGGGTCAAATGGAAAAATCCCAATTTTTATCTCCACTCCATAACCCTGTCGCTTGGGTCTTTTGCCTCTTCTTCTAAGGGGACCAGCCCTAGTCGGAAAGGAATTGATGACTGTGAACAGAACTCAAGATTCTTCCTCTTCAATCCAGCAGACTCTGGGATTCTCCAGGGCTGCAGCCTAAGAGCTGGGGAGGTTACTAGGCCCCTACACACTGCTGCCTGTTTCTTTCTCAGAGGGCGGAGAGCAGAATTGGTAGATGTCTCATCCTCTTTGTGCTTGCTTGGCTGCTGGGCTGGGTCTCTGCTGTTAGAGGAGAGATGGCCCTTAGGCCCTTCTCCAGGAGAACCCCCCATTCTTGCAAGGGAAGCTGTGGCAAGCTTGCAGATTCATCAGAACTCTGAGCCAGTTTTGGATCCAGACCCATTCTCTATTCCAACTTCAGCCTTGGCCTGGCCCATGCTCCTGTTCCAGATGCCAGACCTGGAGTCCATTACAGGCAGGCACTGTTCAGATCTGTCCTCCATGACTTAAACATTTGGTGTCCAGTGGAATGAGTGTGTTGGGATACTTCTTCGTTTCCGGGAAAGGCCATCGTTAGGCGCTGTACAGTGCAGAGGTTCTCAGGACTTTGGAAATTGGAACATGTTTGGGCCAGAGCTGACTTTATATTGGTAGTGGTTTCAGAAAACAGAACAACAAAACATTTCCTGCTAAACACAGATGTCGGGTTTGTGAGATCTGATCTGGGGCTGCTGGAATTGTCCATTTCAAACCTCCCCATCCACCCCACCCTGTAGCAGGCACAGGTTCTATAGGTTTCTCAGCTCTGGGGATCCCCAGAGTGGCAATTTCTGGGACCTTGAGATAATAACCCTGTAGATGTTCATGCAGCCTTTCATCCCAGGACCTCCTTCCTCACCCTCCAGCATTGTCAGATCACAGCTGGGATTTTAGTAATCCTATCATTAGCCCCTCCTCCCAGGCATGGACACTGTGGTCTTGACAGAGAGAGAGAGAGAGAGAGAGAGAGAGAGAGAGAGAGAGAGAGAGAGAGATGAACAATTGGGGCTGGAACTGAACTGGCCTCTTGGGTTTCTGAGATTTACAACCTGAACAGGAGAGTGGTGAGGATTCTGATGAGCGGAGGACAGAGTCTGAATAACTTTCAACTGTCTTTTATACCAGAGTGAGGATCAATGTTCCAGGTTCCTGTGGTTGAGGGACTCACATGGAGTTTCAAGACATGGACTCCTTTCTTTTTTTTCTCTAAACTCTGCCTGCTCATCTTCCAGCCAGCAATGGAGCCTAAGCCCCGGGCTGCAGAAGGCACACCCAGAGATTGTCAGTTGGGACAGTGAGTGGACGGGTGTCTCACTGGGCCTGAGAAATGCTTGGAGGACTTTCGGTGTCAGGCCTATAAGAGAGAGCCCACAGGTGGCAAGACCAGATGGGGCTGGTGAAAGTTACAGACAGACCGACCATTTTAGATGGAGCATTGAAAAGTCAGCTATTCAAAAGAGAAAGGGTTCCCATTGCCAGAAGTGTGCTTCCCTCATTGGAAGTGACACAGCTGAGGGAGGGGATTGCTAGGCAGGGTGTCATATGTGGAACAGGTACATGTGCCTGACCCTGCTATTCTGGCCTCCCAGCTTGTGTCCCCAGGTGGATGCAGTTCAGTGTCTTCCTGAGAGCCCTAGTTTGTTTCTCTGTTGCTATGATAAAACACTGACCAAGAACAACTTAGGGAGAAAGAAATTTATTTCACCTTGCAGCTTACAGTCATCCATCATGGAGGGAAGTCAGGGCAGGAACTCAGGTCAGGGGGATCCTGGAGGCAGGAGCTGAAGCAGAGACCCTGAAGGACTGCCACTTACTGGCTTGCCCCCCTTGCCTTGCTCAGTCACCCTCCTTATACGGTTCAGGCCCTCCTGCTCTGAGACAGCACCACCACAGTGGGCTGAGCCCTCCTACACGAATTAGCAATCAACAAAATGCCTTGCAGACATGGCCACAGGCCAATCTGATGGAGGAAATTCTTTAACTGGGGGTACCTCTTCCCAGGTGACTCAGGCTTGTGTCAAGTTGACAAAAATCTAACCAACATATTGTAGCTCCAGGGAGAATCTGTTAGACTGAGAATTTTTGATGTGTGTGAGAGGAAGAAGGGCCTGGCTTCTCTCTTCTATCACTTATTGAGGCCGTAGTCATCTATGAGGATGATCTAAAGTGTTTTTGTTTCCAAATCTCCATCTCTGTCTCTGTCTCCCTCTGTCTCTCTCTGGGTGTCGGTCCTTGCCTTCTACCTTGTTTAGACAGGATCTCTTGTTCTCTGATGCACACACCAGCCTAGCTGGCCCTCGAGCTCCTGGAGCTTCTGCCTCCACTTCCCATTTCCCAGAGGCGCGTTGGAATTACAGTGCACTACTGTGCCGGGCTTTATGTGGGTTCTGAATCTGAACTCGAGTCCCCACACTTGCACAACAAGGGCTTTAAGACCCACTGAACCATCTTCCCAGCCCAACCTGAAGTTTTGTCCTAATTTTCTTTTATTTAAATAGAAATGGGAAAAGCCAGGAAACAACAACATCAAACCACTCTGTTCAGTCTCCATTCTTCACCCACTTTCCAGCCCAGTCTATCATCTTTCTCTTTCCACTTTAATTTCCTCCTTCTATTCTTTTAATTCCTCCCTTCTTCCTTCCTTCCTC